CAGGAATATTCACCGATCATTTTTGATATATAGGGAAATAATTAATTAAAGAGAAAAATTTGTAAAGGTAATATATATTTCAGATATATGCCAATACCAAGGCAAATAATTAATTAAAGAAAAAAATTTATAAAGGTATTATATACATATCAGTATGGCAAGGCGTGATAAAAAAAATCGTACGTGTGAAAGATGTGGCAAAGAGTGTGCAAATCCTAATAAACTTTGTGAGCATCTAAATCGAAAGTTTAAATGCAAACCAAAGCCTGTTCGACCACAATCTCCAGAACCTACTACTGAAGCAATTCCAGCTTCCATTAACTTGCCTGAACAAACCTCTGCTCCTGAGCGACCACAATCTCCTGCCCCAATAGTCCATACCCGAGGAAAGGATCGAAGAAAGGAGAAGGCAAAAGTGGTTGTCCCTAGCGTGGTTGAGCAACAAGACGCTCAGGATGATCCTGAAGCTGGTCCTGGCCCATCAACCCAAGCATATAGAAAAGAGAAGCCAAAAATGGTTGACCCTAGCATGGTTGAGCGACAAGACGCGATCCCAGAGGAATCCGCTCAGTATATTGATAGACATGCAAGAAAGTCTAGAGAGCATCTAAAAACATGGAGTGCCAGATTGCGTCGAAGATGGATCGAAGTTACTGGTGAAGAGCGTGAATTACCACTAACCTTAAAAGAATGTCAGCTTCTCCATCATGATTTATTACAGGCAGATGAAGAGGCTTTTGAAGAAATTATTCCTCAAGAGGGAAAACCTAGTGAGGTTGAGCGACAAGACACTCAAGAGCAAGCTCCCTACCCCACACCAAAGGCTCCACTTCGTGTGAATATAAAGCAATTTAAAACTGTATTTGTAGACCCAAATGGTAGGCATTTTATTACTAACGAAGAGGCTGAAAAATGGGATAAAGAGCATCATGATCCCGAAGAAGCTAGACTTCCAACAAAAGCAGAGATAGAGGAAGAAATCGAAAAAAATAGGTTGGAAATGATAGAAAACTTACCATTGGCCGAAAGACAAGAATATGAAATACAAAAGGAATACGCTTCTGGAGAGCATTTCCGTTCTATATATCATGAAAAAGGGAATACCTATACTACAGGGGCATATGAAGTAAAAGAAGTAATAGTCGAGCCACCCCACGATGAGATAAAATTCCTAGAAAGAATCCATGATCCGGCTAGATTACATCCTTCTATAAGACATCAAACTACATGGGAAGCTATTATCCCATCTAACAAAAACCCTGCATATGCTTTTAATAAACGTCAAGATAACGAGCAAGAATATGCAGATGCCCTATACATGCCCCAGTTAGTTGCATCAGCTCGTAAGCAGATTACAGATGTTCTTAAAGAGGAGCTTCGCAGAAAGGATCAAATAAAATCTGCAATAGTTGTATATGCAACATACGTGAAATACAAGTATCTTGGAAGTGGTGATATATCAGATATGAGAAACTATGAAAAGAAGTATTACTATCCATATCATAGGGGGAAGCAACATATACTTCTCTCAGAAAATGATATAGATGATCATATAACCAAATCTGTTGGAGAAATCGATGAAAAGATCGAAAAATACTTGAAGGAAGAGTCTGGTAAAATCCTTCTCCGGCTAGAAATGGTATTAATGGAATCTTATACACTTCGACGAGCTACCGGAGGGTCTCACATTCCCACTTCCAAGAGGCTTAGCAATACAAAGTGCACTATCAATCCAGATAATTCTGATATTATAGATTCGGATACAGGTAAACCTACCGACAATTGTATTAAAGGTGCATTAGGATGCTATTTCGCATATCAGGATGGAATTACAGACCATCTTGGTAGACGTATATACCGAGTAAAAAGTTTTCGAAAATATTTAGATGTTGTTAAGCTAGATGGAATCCCTATGCCTACTCCAATCTGTCCGCGTATATTCAAAAAGATTGAGGAGATGAACCCAGATATCTCCATCAATGTCTGGGAATGGAATGAAGAAACAGCTAAACCCAAATCTGTGGTTTATAGCAAAAATTTTAACAGACCTCATATTATCCATCTCATGGCCCTTACAGATATTACAAAGTCTGAGGATGATAAGTACGGGCAAAAGAATCACTTCCTATGGATTAAGAATCATGATGGACTAGTATTTGGGGATACAGCTCATCATGGAAAAAGATTTCTTTGCAATCGGTGTGAAATAAGCTGGTCATCAAAAAAATCTCGAGACGATCATCAAGAACACTGTTTTGGATGGGGAGAGGATTGTCAAAGAGTTAATCTACCAGTGAAAGGGGTAAATGATTTTGAGCAGTTCAAGAACTATGGCCGGATGATTAATGCCCTATGTGTCATTATAGCAGACTTCGAGTCTGATAATAAGAAATGGGATTATTCAGGAGGGGTAATGAAACCATTTCCATCTTATGGTGGAAATATGCGCAAGCTCGCCGAGCAGAAGGCTAATAGTTTTTGCTATCTAGTCCACTGGATTGATACTGGAGATGTATGGGGGTCATTCCTATACCGAGGTGAAAATGCAACCCAAGAGTTCGTTCGAAGGATAGATCAGGAGCTAGTCCACATCAATGAAGTCTTAGCTGTTAAAGCTGATAGAATTGAGACTGAGGAAGATAAGAAAAGATTTGCCGAGGCTGTTACCTGTTGGATTTGTAAAGGTAAGTTTGATATAAATATAGAGGAAATTGCACGACTAGAAAGTAAAATAGTTAGTCTTAAAAAGAAGCTAGAAGCATTCAAAAAAGGGTCTGCAGAGTATAATGGTATCCAATCAACCATTGATAAAACGACCAAGGCAATTGCCAGTGAAAAAGCTAGAGCTAATAAGGTTTGGGACCACTGTCATATTACAGGTAAGTTTCGTGGAGCATCACACCGTGACTGTAATCTCAAACTTCAGATCGAGCCATGGAAAACCCCTATTCCAGTAGTCTTCCATAACTTCCGGGGCTATGACTCTCACTTGGTCTGTGAATCTGTTGGGCGATCAGCTAATGCTCTTCATATCCAAGTCATAGCTGAAACATTTGAGCGATATAAGTCAATGAAGGTAGGTCAGCTCAAGTATATTGATAGCATGCAATTTATGAATAATAGCTTGGCCAATCTTACAAAAAACTTGGGTAACGACCACCCAATCACTAGTCAGCACTTTAAAGACTTTACTCCAGGTCAAATTTCTCTGGCAACTCGCAAAGGGATATACCCCTATGATTATATCGATTCTCAAGATAGATTCTTGGAAACAGAGCTTCCTCCTATTCATGAATTTCATTCTACCCTAAAAGGGAAGATCTCACCAGAAGACTACCATCATGCTCAGAAAGTATGGAAAACATATGGTTATAAGAATCTAGGTGCGTACCATGATCTCTATCTTAAAATTGACGTACTCTCTCTTGCTGATGTCTGGACACAATTTCGAAAGACATGCATAAAATATTACGAGCTCGATCCTAGCCACTATGTCTCTGCCCCATCTTTATCCTGGGATGCTATGCTCAAGAAGACTGGGGTTAAGATCGAGTTATTTACAGATATGTCGATGCATGACTTCATCGAAAAGGCCAAGAGAGGTGGTATATCTATGGCTTGTAAGCGATATTTCAAGGCCAATAATCCCAAGATGGGTAAGGCATTCAACCCATCCGAACCCACATCATGGATCTCATATGTGGATGCAAATAATCTTTATTAGGGTTCCGCAATTCGATTTGACATTTGAATATTTGATTTGAAAATCAAATCAAATACAAATTCAAATTTAT